TTATCTCTGGGCTTTCTATTCTGTTCCATTGATCTATATTTCTGTCTTTGTGCCAGTACCATACTGTCTTGATGACTGTGGCTTTGTAGTAGAGTCTGAAGTCAGGCAGATTGATTCCTCCAGTTCCATTCTTCTTTCTCAGGATTACTTTGGCTATTCGAGGTTTTTTGTATTTCCATACAAATGACACAATATTTCTTATCTTTAAAGAAAAATTCCATCTTTGAGAGTTCTTTGGGTTGTTGTTGTTCAGTCACTAAGTCACATCCAACTCTTTGTGACCTCATGGACTGCAGCATGCCAGGCTTTTGCTCTTTCCTGGAGTTTCCTCAAACTCCTGTAGATTGAGTTGGTGATGGTATCCAACTACCTCATCATCTGTTGTGCCCTTCTCCTCCTGCCCTCAATCTTTACCAGCATCAGAGTCTTTCTCAGACTTTTTAGGTTATCCTATAACAACTATCATAAAAGGAGTATTCAAATGGCTGTGTCCATTATTTCACATGTTATTCTCTTTAACCTGCTCCCATCCTAATTTTAACCCTATGGGAACTGCTTTCTTGAAGATCACCAACTTTTATTTTACTAATCTGTTCGTTTTACCCAACCTCTCTGTGCTATGAGGTAGAGTTGACTACTTCTTTGTTTATGAAATTTTACACTTCATTTCATTTGGTATCCTAAACATGATAAGGCTTGGTGTTTCTCTTAACTCACTAGGTACTCCTTTGAAGTCTCTCTTCTGGCATTTTCTCCTTTTCCAAAACTTTAAGGGCTGGAGTACCCTAGATTTTATCCTTACTTTGGCTCATGTTCTTTAGTTCCATTCTCATCCTCAAAGCTTCCACTTGTATGTCTCCAAACTTACTTGCTTCCTGAACCCCAAATTCATGCACTCAACTGCATTCTTGACCTCCACACTGAGTATCTACTTAATGTCCCAAACCTGGTCTGACCAATCATAAATTTTTGTCTGAATCTAGTCCCCAAGTTGCTCAAAATTTAATTAAGCATATTTCAGTAACAAAGGCAACTGATATTGTAGGCAATAGACCTGAATGGGGACTTCACAAAAGAAGTTATCTTGTCAGTAAAAATATGAAAAGTACCCTACATCATCAATCTTCAGAAAAATGCAAATTAAAGGTGCCTAATAATATCATAACATAACCATCAGAATGACTGAAATGAAAAGAACTGTAATACAGTTCAGTTCAGTTCAGTTGCTCAGTTGGGTCCAACACTTTGTAACCCCATGAACGGCAGCACGCCACGCCTTTCTGTCCATCACCAACTCCCAGAGTTTACTCAAACTCATGTCCATCAAGTCAGTGATGCCATCCAGCCACCTCATTCTCTGTCGTTCCCTTCTCCTCCTGCCCCCAATCCCTCCCAGCATCAGGGTATTTTCAAATGAGTCAACTCTTCGCATGAGGTGACCAAAGTATTGGAGTTTCAGCTTCAACATCAGTCCTTCCAATGAACACCCAGGACTGATCTCCTTTAGGATGGACTGGATGGATCTCCTTGCAGTCCAAGGGACTCTCAAGAGTCTTCTCCAACACCACAGTTCAAAAGCATCAATTTTTTGGCACTCAGCTTTCTGTATAGACCAACCCTCACATCCACATATGACTACTAGAAAAACCATAGCCTTGAATAGATGGACTTTGTTGACAAAGTACTGTCTTTGCTTTTTAATAAGGAAAGCATATTAAACTTTCCTTCCACGGAGTAAGTGTCTTTTAATTTCATGGCTGCAGTCACCATCTGCAGTGATTTAGGAACCCCCCAAAGTAAAATCAGCCACAGCTTCCACGGTTTCCCCATCTATTTGCCATGAAGTGATGGGACCGGATACCATGATCTTAGTTTTCTGAATGTTGAGTTTTAAGCCAACTTTTTCACTCTCCTCTTTCACTTTCATCAAGAGACTCCTTAGTTCTTCTTCACTTTCTGCCATAAGGGTGGTGTCATCTGCATATCTGAGGTTACTGATATTTCTCCCGGCATCTTGATTCCAGCCTGCGCTTCTTCCAGCCCGGCGTTTCTCATGACGTACTTTGCATATAAGTTAAATAAGCAGGGTGACAACATACAGCCTTGACGTACTCCTTTTCCTACTTGGAACCAGTCTGTTGTTCCATGCCCAGTTCTAACTGTTGCTTCCTGACCTGCATATAGGTTTCTTAAGAGGCAGGTGGTCTGGTATTCTCATCTCTTTCAGAAATTTCCACAGTTTATTGTGATCCACACAGTCAAAGGCTTTGACATAGTCAATAAAGCATAAATAGATTTTTTTCTGGAACTCTCTTGCTTTTTTGACTATCCAGCGGATGTTGGCAATTTGATCTCTGTTTCCTCTGCCTTTTCTAAAACCACCTTGAACACCTGGAAGTTCATGGTCCATGTATTACTCCCCCCCATAAATAGAATCATTTAGATCGATGAGTAGTTAATATCTGATGAGGTAAACTAAACTACTGGTTATCTGAGAGAAGAACTTGACAGGGAATGTGAGAAAGTTCTCTCAGGTACTAGTGCTGTTATTCCCCTTAGCCTGGAATCTGAATATTTTGTGGTAATTCATTTTAATGTGGTGATGTTTAGTTGATGAATCATGTCTAACTCTTGTGACCCCTGTTACTATAACCCACCAGTCTTCTTTCATGGGATTTTCCAGGCAAGAATACTGGAGTGGGTTGCCATTTCCCTCTCTAGGGGACCTTCCCCAGCTCCCAACCTAGGGATAGAGCCAGTCTTAAGGCCCTCTGCACTGGCAGCTGGGTTCTTTACCCCTAGTGCCACCTGGGGAGCACTCATTAGCGGCCTGGTGGCAGAGGGTTAGTCGCTCATCCATGTCCGACTCTTGCTACCCTGCGCTGTAGCCTGCCAGGCTCCTCTGTCCATGGGACTTTACAGACAAGAATACTGGAGTGGGTTACCATCTCCTTCTCCAGGATATCTCCCCTACCCAGGATCAAACCCAGGTCTCCTGCATTGCAGGCAGATTCTTTACCAACTGAGCCATGGGGGAAGCACAGTATGTGGCCTACTTTCTTCCTCATCTCCATGGTTGGGCCGTCACCAGTGCAGAATCACTTCTTTGCTTTGGAGCTTGAATGTAATTACATACTAGAGTATAAAAAAATGGTTTCCTAAGAAGCTATGGAATAATTGGTTTTTGCTACTATAAAATGTGAAGTTTTAACCCCCAGTGAGGTAGAATTTTTAAAATGAGAAGCAGGAGATGAGAGAGAACTTGCAGATAATTTCTCCCTTCTTTTATTCTCTGTATGTTACTCAGAGGTGGACATTGCACAATAATTACCTTCCATTTTTTATAGCTAAAAGAATTCAGAGGATCCAAACAGGTTTTACTAACAGGACAG